TTTCTTTCCTATTGCACAGTTATACTATTGAAGGTACCCTCTACAAACTGACAAAGTTTCAGGGTATGTTAGGGTGAGGACCCCCCCCCCCCCCCCCTCCCCTTAAAAAGAAATTCAAATTTTTTAATGATTTATCTGTGTAGAATAGAGGCTGCCGGATTGATCTTTACTTTAGTTTTCTGAAAATTCATGAAAACATTTGATCTAGTTTGTACAGAGAATTCGACCGTGTATCTTTTGGCGAAAAAAAAGAACCAAGACTTTATAATTTGTCTTTGTTGAGATATGTGTAAAATATCTGATAGTTACAATCATTTTACTTCAACCCGATATTTAACATAATAAAATTACTAGGATAGAAAGTATGATGATCAAAAACAAGTTTTTGATTTCTATAAATATGAGAAAATTTTTTCGATGATTATTTATCTTTTAAATTTTTTTTCTTCTACCTATTGATTTTGTCATAGTATTTTCATCAAGACATGCAGCTGCACATCGTTCCATTTTATTTAATGATGATTTAATAGAAGATTTATCAAATGTAACTTGTAATGTATTATAAAAACCAGAATTTGTCCATAATTCACATGATGAAAAATGAATTTGATAATTCAATAAATGACCATGTTGAGTATAAAAATTTTCTTCAACATAAGCTGAAAAAACTCTTGTACCACCACATGTATCATTTGTTTTAATTTGACTACGAGTTAATTGTGTACATTTTATGTTACAAATTTGATCTTTTTGTCGATTATAATGCATAAGACCACCACCTGAACATCGACATGTTAATAATTGTAAATAAATTATTGGTGTATTACATAAATGAAAACATAATTTTGGTTCCATAAATGAACTAATAAAAAAACTTTCATGAAATACTTGTGTATAACAACCAGCATATTGATATGAACTATAAATTGGATGAATCATGAAAATTAAAAATAAAAGAGAGACTATTTTTGAATCGAACATTATTTTATTGAAAGAATATAAGTAAATGATACATATAGAAAGTGTTACTAATGTAGAAAACAAAAGAAAGAAAGAAAGAAAGAAGCAAAGGAAATATGAGATGTGTTGTAATTATTTGATATCAAAAAATTGATAATAGTACATAAAAAAAAAAAAAAAGAAAGACGAACAATTGTTTGTTGTTATTTGATAGAAAAAGTTATGAGTATTGTATTTTATAATGGAAGACTTTTAATATGAAAATGTCTTTGTGTTTTGGTTTTTCGATTGTTTATTAGACAAATAAACTAAATTTGATAGAAAAATATAAAAATCATTCATTTTTAGGACTTAATAGGCAACTCAAACAGTGTCTAGTATCCTATTAAATGTATAATAGTGGAGAAAGGAGGTCCACTTTTAGTTCTTGCAATCTAAATATCTCTTATGAGAAAGCATCCGAGAATTTTGAGTCTATGACAACTTTTACTCTACTTATCGAGATCTATCCATCTCAAAAGTTTCATAATTTTTCGTCGAGTCATTCTCGAGAAACCCCCGAAAAAGGAGGTCTTCTTAAGTCAGCAAAATATCGAATATGTCTTACTGCCCATGAAAACAAACCCACATCAATGTTTAGATAAAAAACCGCTATTTTTTGCGTTTAAACACATCTTTTGTAAAACACGATCTAAATTGAATGTCGAAATATATATCAGGTACAAATTTGCATTCCTCCTTTCTCGCTGATTGTAAATAACGCTTTTCGAGGAAACCTCTTCAGCTGTTCCCTTCCAATATCAATGATTTTTTTTTTCGTCTATATATACTGTATCATGTTATAATAAAAATCCTAAAAGGATTTAACTAAGCTATCGAATTTTTTTCTAGAGATCCCAGGTTTTCGAAAAATTCGTATTTTTGAATTTTGACCATGTAGGAAAGTCAACTAGACTAGTTTTGAACAAAGTCTTTTCGAGATATAGATCCTTTTCCATGGATGATGTATACAACGTGCAGGTTTTGAAAGTTTCATATCTTGAAAAGATATTGTTCAAAAATTCTGAATCTTTTTAATATCAATTAGTCTAGTTGAATTCTTTCACAGACGAGTTAAATGCGTATTCAGATTTGGATTTTGAGTTAAAACGTCTTTTTATGAAATAAAGATCTGCGAAAATATTGGCAAACATTTCGTGATGTTACATTTTAAAAATATATCGTTTGAATAGAGTTTTTATCGAGGTAAATTATTTAACTTTAGTATAGTAGAATATACTTGAATATCATGAAAGAACAAAAAGAGCTGCATAAGAAACATGACAAACATAGACGAATAAAACAAGTTTACTTTGATAAGAAATATCTCTTGAGCAAGTTCGACATGCCATAGATAACATACTATCGAAGTAACAATTCTGTTGAATTTTATTTCTTAGTAACGATTAGTCACATAGAGTGTTGATTTAAACTCATAACAAAATTATTATGATTCATTGTACGAGCATTATTTTTATACTTTTTTTAATTTAATAATAGGAGAGTTATTTTGGAAAAGAAAAAAAGTACGTAGTCCATCTTTGTTTATCAGCATTACAAGATTTACTTAAGTTTTAGTTCAGATTCTTGTTTTTCGTTACTAAATTCTTGTATAAATATATATATATATATAGTTTTTCATTCTCTTTAAACATGATTTATGAGTAATCCAATTAATGCATATATCTTAGAAGCGTTGAGTTTCATCTAAGAAAAATTCACATACGTTAATTAATGGAAAGCTTATGTAAAAAAATTGGGAACCTGCCGCGGTCCTAAAAGAGAGAAGGCTACTGCACTGTGGTTGTTTTAAAGAAAAGTGCCACTGATACCGATAATCCGCCAGTCTGCTGGTAGGTCGGTATGGATTTCAGATCGATCAGTTGATGAGCCGATCCGGTCTCGTCTACTCACGAGAGGATTATCACAAGTGGCACCCATCGTTTGAACCAGGACTCGGCGTGAGATGGGACAATCCCATTCCATTCCGTCTTATGGAACAAACGTCTTTTACAATAATCTTTTTTTTTTTATTAAAAACAACTCAATTGTTGCGAAATAGATGTCTTTCTCGTTGGAATGCGAATTTGGTTATGATAAAACTATGAAATTATATAAAATTTGGTAGTATTAATGAACACGATAGCAGTATTCAGAAATTTTTTTTTTCGAAATTTGAAGAACGTGAAGTTTCATGAGACGATTTTTTTCGCCCATCCCATCCTCCGTGGGTGCCTTGGTTTGAACTGATATTGCACCCGCAGACAGGTCTTAGTGAGACTAGCAAAAATCTAAAAGGGTTCGTGCCAGTGAGCCTTTGTCGCTAAGTTATGATCGATTTAATAAATTTTTCTATTCATTTGTAGATGTTTCGTAAAAAAATCAAATGACCATATTTCGATCTCAAATTTTGCTTATGCGAAGGTCTAATAACTCTTAGAATATCCTGAAAGTTTTAGCTGAAAAGAATATTTCTTCGTCAAGATATAGAACTTCCAAAAATAACCCTGTGTCACAAATATCATGTTCACTTGAAAATTTAATAACCCGACGAAGGAACATTCTTTTCGCCTGAAATTTGTAAAATATTCTAAGAGTCATTATACCTATCTGTAGTCAAAGTTTTGGATCAAAACTCCATTAATCAACCTTTCCAGGTGTCCTGAAAAATGAATAAAAAACAATAAACCGGTCATAACTTGATGTCAAGGGTCGATGAGGACGAATCTTTTTAGGTTTTTGATATTTTCGCTAAGACCTGTCTGTGAGTCCAATATGACCTCAAACGTTTGATGCCACTTAGGACAATTCACTTATTAGAAATATGCAACAGAATGGCATAAATATGATAAAAAATAAATACATAGCAAAAGACGATTTTAATACAAATAAAAGGTATTGTAAAGAATGCGTCCTCGAACTGTTTGTTTGTATTTGTAGTGAAAAGAAAAAAATGTGTTCCGACGCAATTTTTTTGCAATATGTTTTTGAATCAATATTTTGTTGATAGTACTTCTCTCATGCAAGAGAAAAATTACATTTTATGTTAAACTGAATAAACATTATTTGCCAATTTTTCATTCACAAATATTAAATCAATATTCATATGTAATCGTTCTATATTCAAATTTTGACATTTTTATTCATAAATGAATTTTATTGTTGACTCCAGAAGAGGGCTCTAGTATTCATAGAAGGTTTTTCTTTTGAGCAACCGTCGATTGGTTAAATGCACTGCTGTATATTTCTTTTCCTTTTTCTTCTTTATCTTTCAGCATCTTTTTTTTTTAAATTCTCTTACTTGTTTATTACTTTTCTTTTTCTTTTTTTTCTCTACGTTAGTTTCCATTTACAAAAGATAAAAAAAGAAATACATTTATATACACATACACATACATAAACATTGTCTTCCGACATTTTACTTATCATCAATAGTACAATCTGTTGAAATATTTATAATGACTGACGACTTACAAGATGCCGAAGGTGTTGATATTGGTATGAAAATTAATTTCTTCTTGTTGTTTTTTTTTTGTGACATTAAAATTTATTTTTAATTAGGTAAAAAACATAAACTAGGACATTTACGTGTTGATACTCAAGGAAATGCAACATTTAAACGTTTACCAACTAATCAACTTGTTGAAGCACTTCAATTAGGTATTCAATATAGTGTTGGTGGTTTAGAAGCAACACCAGCACATGATGTACTTTATCAAGATTTTCTTACTGTTGAAATAATACATTTTCCAAAGTAATAAAAAAAAATAAGAATTTTGTTTGTGAATAAAAAAAAAAGTTTGTTGTTTTTTCTTTTTTTCATACAGAGGTGGAAGAACAACACCAAAAGCAACACCACCACATCGTTTTAATGATTTTACAATTCGTTCATATGCACCTGTTGCATTTCGACATTTTCGAGAAAAATTTAATATTAAACCAGAAGATTATTTAGTAAAGATTTTAAAATAATTTTTAATAATTATTTTTTTTTTTTTTTTGTAGTCTTCAATATGTAAACCTTTTCGTGAATTAAAAAATCCTGGTGCAAGTGGAAGTTTATTTTATTTAACATCAGATGATGAATTTATTATAAAAACAGTACAAAAAAAAGAAGCAGAATTTTTAAAAACTCTTCTTCCTGGTTATTATATGGTTATTATTTATAGATTATTCTTTATTGAATTGAATTTAATCTGTTGTTTTTTTTTCTTATTTTAGAATGTTACACAAAATCAACGTACACTTTTACCAAAATTTTTTGGTCTCTATTGTTATCAAGTATGATTAAAATTTTCTTTTTTTTTTTTTTTTTTCGTTAGATAAATTATCTTGCAAAAACTTCGAGAATCCAAAAAAAAAAAGAATAAGAAGTAAAGATTGAATGAATAGAAAGTGGTATTTATATCTATCTAGGTCACAGAATTTTTAAGAAGAAATAAAAATGGGTCTGTAAGTGAATTTACATACTTATTAGAAGATTTTTTTCTAGCTCATTGATTATGTCTTCGTGTGAGTGTGTGTTCATGAAAAAAAAAATAAGCAATCATATAAGAAAAACTATTGGGCTGCTCTATTTCTTCTTCTATTGTCGTTCTGTTTTGCTAGTCAATGTATCTCTTTGAAAAAGAGTCTATTTTGATGAATAGTACTGACAAAAAAAATTTTCTTCGCTTCCTTGAAACGGAAGCTTGACTTTTATTTGTGTGTATATTCTGCTTTGTTCCTTTCTCTTTAGCTAAATGAATAATTTCTTAAAATAGAATTATTCTTTATTATATATTTATCTATATAGATGCATTTTTTGTAGGGTGATAATAAAAATATTCGTATAACTGTTATGAATAATTTAATTCCATCTCATATTCAAATGCATGAAAAATATGATCTTAAAGGTTCAACATTCAAACGACGAGCAAATATTGAAGAACGACGTAAAG